AGCAACCAGTAAGTGAAACAATTAATCAGTGTTTCTCAATCTCCCTATCTCAAAACAATAAATTAGGGACAATCACAAGTATAAACGTTGGGCAAGTGTTGTCAGGGGTAAGACGCTGCAGAATATGTTTTCTACTCACTCCTCAGGTATTTATTAAGCCAGCTTCACCCCATCAAAGGTGCTGATTCTTAGCCCTGGCTGGTGTAGCTCAGTGAAGCTAGTTTAGCTCAGTGGACTGAGCACAGGCCTGCAAACTGGGTCACTAGGTTGGATTCCCAGTCAGGGCAATGCCCTGGGTTGCAGGCCAGGTCCCCAGTAGGGGGTGCATGAGAGGCAACCCCACACTGATGGTTCTCTTTCTCCCTCCCTTCCTCTCTGTAAAGATACGTGGTACCAAGATCTCTTGGGACGTGGAAGCGGCACATAACTGGTTCCTGCATCCATGAGAAAGAAACTTCCAGAGTCTCTCTCCTACGCCCTCTACCTGCAGGTAGGATCTTCTCACCTCTCCGTTGGCCTCAGCTGGGAGTCAGGCAGCTCCTCACATCCCCCTCGCGGTGCCTCTCTGCGCCTGGCCTCTCCTGTCACACTGAGACTTTGCTTGATGTCAGAGAGACACCTCAAACATCACATGGCTTCATGCCGGCTCAAAGGACAACGTCTACCCTCCTAGTCTGGGGAGGGTCCCCTTTGCACTGAAGATACATTGCTTGCTCTTGGGGACAAAGGAGCAAGAGATGTTGAGGGTCATCCTGTTGGCTCTGGCTGTTTCTCAAGTACCTTTAATTCAACATAATCAATAATTTGCCCAGGTGGCATATCTTAGTGGCTTGTTTGGCTTCCCTTCATCCTGGAGTGACTAACTCAACTCTTTTTAAAATTGATTGGAGAGAGAGAGATTGTTCCACTTATGGATGCATTCATTGGTTGATTCTTACATGTGCCCTGACCAGGGATCAGACCCGCCAGCTTAGCATAGCTGGATGACGCTCTACCCCATACAGCTACCCGGCCAGGGCCTCAACTTTTGACTGTGGTCCTCAATCCACTGCCTCTTTCTCTCATGCAAACATCCCCCCTGTTGGCCAAGCCTGCTGAGGCTTACCCGGAAAAGTACTTCCAGGTTCCCGCTGCCCATCACTGCTGGGAATGAGGCCCCTCCACATTCACCACCTCCCCGTTCCCACGGCCCCAAACCCATCTTCCACTCCAAGGGAAACCAGACCCTCATCGAGAGCCCTGCCCGGGGCAACCCGCGGCTTCCTGTTGCATTTGGAGCAAATCCAGAAGCCGACTTTCTCCAAAGGCCACGGCAGCCTCCCCACTGGCCCCTCTGCCCAGGGCCCATTCTGGTCACGCTCTTCTCCACCCACCCAGAGACGCTCTGTGACCCCAGACGGCCCTCCCTCTGCGGGGTCGCCCCTCCGAGCAGATTCGAACCCCCGGCCTCCCAGTGCTGTCTCCAGCCTGTCCCCACCCCGGCCCCATTGCCATTGCCCCAGCGACTCCAGTTTGCAGTTGCCTGGCTGTCCTTGGCTTGGTTTTGTAAATGGGCCACGAACCCATCCGCACCATGGCCGCAGTGGCCTGAGCCACCATGCCCCCCGCCCCGGACCCCAGGACCACCGCTGCGGCCTCTTCCTGCCTCCCTCCTGCTGCTCACGCAGCAGCCCCCAGGCCAGGCCCATGGCCCCAAGGCTGCCTTGTCCAGCAGCTAAAACCTAAATCCCAGCCCCTGCAGGCTCAGTCTCTGCTTCCCGCCGCCTGGGCCTGGGACCCACGGTCCCCGCAGACGCCTGTGTAGCTCGTTTCCTTAGGACTCTGCTCAGGGCCGCCCAGGGGTCCTTCCGACAGCCCAGCCACGCCGCCCAGTCCCCTGTGCCCCGTGACCGCCCCCCCCCAGTTGGAACTCCTCCCAGAGGACGGATGGCCCTGACAGCAGGGTCGACGTCCTGGGGTCTGGGCCTGCCTTGCTCATGCCGCCTGTACCACGGGACACTGACCGCAGTGAGTGTGGTGGCAGGGGAGTGGCTGCCCCTCACCACGCACCTCTCCATCACCAGCCCGGTCCACCTGGACAGGACCCAGAGGGAGCAGGGGTCAAGGTTCTCAGCTCTGCTTCTGACAAAGGGGGATATAATTGGAGGAACCCATGTGCCCCTCCTTGGGTTCCAGTAATTTCCTGGAGTAATTCACAGGACTCAGAGATGTTTCACCTACTAGACCACTGGTTTATTACAGAAAGCTGCCACTCAGGAGCAGCCATGCGGGAGAGACGCCTCAGCGCCACGTAGCAGGAGACGGGCAAGGGGCTCCGCAGCCCAGCCTGAGCCCACGACTCTCCTGTGGAAGCTCTTCAAACCCGCTACACCGGCGTGATCGATTACATCATCATCTTTGGTGATTGATTCAACCCACAGCGCCCCCTCCCCTCCCAGGAAGTCAGGGGGTGGGACTGAAAGTTCTAAGCCTCCAACCACCTGGTTGGTTCCCCTGGCAACCAACCCCCCACCCTTGGGTGCCTGAGGACCAAATGAATACTTCTTACCCATGATCACGATACCACACCACCTCTTCCTACCAAAAGGTTAGATCCGCGTTGTCCCGAACAGTTCTCCCGCATGTCCCCAGGGCCTACAGCATGCCAGGCACACAGGAAGTGATGAATAAATATTTCAGTGTGAAAATGACTTGCCCAGGGCCCCACGGTGAGACCTCCTTGGAGCTCAGTGGTGCCAATGGCGAGCCCAGAGTCCATCCTCCCCAGCCTGCCCCGGCCTGGGCAGTCAAGAGCATCCAAGTTCACCTGTCAGAAAGCACCCAAGCTCAGTCCCCTGTGGAGCAGCCTAAGGAGGTTCTTGTCCCACAGCCTGTTGGGCAGAGCAGAAGTCGTTCCACTCGGGTCGTGCTGTGTGGAAATCCCAAGCTGGCTGAGCCAGGCCACAGTGGGGAGCCCGGCGGGTGAAGAGCCGGGTGTCAGGTTCCTGGCCTGGGAGGCAGTGTGACGTCAGCGCGGAACCTTGGAACCTACGGGCGGAATGCGGAGGGGCAGGAACAAGGCCTGTTCTGAGGGGGTAAGGAGACCTCTCGCCCTGGGGCTGGGCTGGGCGTGGTGGGGGGGGCGGAGTGAAAACAGCCAGTCGGTGCCAGTGCCCTTGAGGGCCTCAAGGGACCTCTGCAGAGCCAGCCTTCCACGTCGTAAGCAACGGGGGCTCCAGGGTAAGAACATGAAAGGGTCCTGTAACCTCGTGGGCAGCAGGCAGACTGGCTGACTCGAGGAGGCTGGGAGGAGGGGACATGCACGCAGGGGCCCCAGGGCACCCTGGGTTGATGACGGAGGGCAACCTGAGAGCGTGTGGCCTTTGTCACGGAAAGCAGGGAAGCTGTGGCCCTTCACTAGCTGTACCCTCAGTCTGGGGTGCTGAGGGTCTGCCATGAAATCCGACTCCCTTCCCCAGAAAGGCAGGGACTTGGGCCAAAACTTCCTCTGCTCTGGGCCTCGGCACATGGATGTTGTACCCCAGCAACAGCAGGGGTCGGGGAAGGTGGACCTGGGGCGTGGGCCACTTTCTTAGTAATGAACAGACACTCTCCCCTCCTGACGCTGGATTCTGGTAAATGCCATGGTGGCTCCCTGTAGGGATGGGAGACCCTGGCATGGCCGCCGGGTGGGGTGGGAGACAGGGTGGGGGGGGAGTGAGGGCCGTCCTGAGAAAGGGTCCCTGCAAAGAGGCCAGTGGTTCAGCCAAGTTAGAAAAGTGACTTATCAGCAGGCACCCTGGTGGGGAATCCAGGTCCGCAGAGGCTGTGGGGTTGCTGAGATGACAGGGGGTCCCCATGTGGGAAGAGGAATGAGGAGCAATCCAGACAGATGGTGCCCCAAATTGTGGCTTTCACCTAAATCCCCAGCCATGGTCTCCAGGGCATGGAATCCTTGTTTTTCTTCTCTCTCATATATATGTATAGGTATGTATGTATGTGTGTGTGTGTGTGTGTGTGTGTGTGTGTGTGTGTGTGTGTATTCCCTTAATTTTGAGAAAGAGAAACACTGATTTGTTGTTCCACTTATGAATGCATTCATTGGTTGCTGTTTGGATGTGCCCTGACTGGGGATTGAACCCACTACCTTGGGAATTCCCACGATGCTCTAACCAACTGAGCTATACCAGTCAGGGCTCATCTCTGTACTTCTAGAGTGGGGGGGAGGGTGGCAAACCTCAGAGCTGTGGCACATCTGGGGCCTCTTTTTGAGGACTGGGGGCTCCCTCAACCCTCCTGCCACGTGGCCACATTCTCCACACACTCCCCTTCTCTGGTTGCTCGTGACTAGTGAGGGGAGTCCTTTGCCTCAGCACACACTTCTGTCACTTCTGAGACGCTCTCCTGGTCCCTCCTTGCTTCCCAACATGCACCCTCGATACCCTGTCCCCGTCCTGGTCCCCGAGTTCCCCTCAGAACCACAGCACACAGGGGTGATTCTGTGCCTCAAAGTTTACCCAAGAGGAAAAGAGGCCGCCTTTGCCACAGCGACACACTCCTCCCTTCCAGTTTTGTTTTTTTTTTTTTTTTTAATCCTGTTTGGAGAAGGAAGGCAGCGTGCTTACGGGAAGGGAAAAGTCTAGTTCACCCAAGAAGTGAGTCTTCAAGTAGGCGGGGCAGGGGCGGGGAGGGGAGCAGAGGGAAGCGGGGGCACCGCGCCTGCCAGGGGTGTCCCCCGAGCAGAGGTCCTGGGTAGAGGAGGTATGCGTGAGTCATTCGGATTCCGGTTCTGGCTGATTCCAGGAGGGGCCCCCACCTCGGGGTCCCCAGTCCGCGCCCGCGCAGGAAGCCGGGCTGCCCGGGAGGAGCCTAGTCCCCGACCTCCCGCAGCGCCCCCTCTCCAGCCCCTGTCCGCGCGCGCCACGTTGGCGCGCACCGCTGCTTCTGGGAAACGAAACTGAGTCGCTCTCCAGTGCGCTCGCGGCTCGGCTCTTCGAGCTTCCCGCGCCCCGCAGAGCGGGGCGGGGCGGGCGAGCGGCGGAAGCGGCCTGGGCGGCGGGGGCCGGCCCCAGGCCGGGCGGGGCCGCGCTGACCGCCGTCTCCCTGCGTCCCGCAGGCGGGGAGCCCGCGCCGCCGCGCCCCTGCCGCGGGCGATGATCACCTAGGAGGCTGGCGCGGGCGGGCGCGAGCCGCGCAGGAGAGGGGCGCGGCGACACGCGGCCATGGAGCGGGAGCCGGCGGCGGCCGAGGAGCCCGCGCCCCCGGGCAGGCGGCGGCGGCGGCGGCGGCGGCGCCGGGAGGGCAGGACGCGCACGGTGCGCTCCAACCTGCTGCGGCCCCCGGGCGCCGAGGACCCCGCGGCGGGCGCGGCCAAGGGCGCGCGGCACCTGGCCGACAACCGGCTCAAGACCACCAAATACACGCTGCTGTCCTTCCTGCCCAAGAACCTGTTCGAGCAGTTCCACCGCCTGGCCAACGTGTACTTCGTCTTCATTGCGCTGCTCAACTTTGTGCCGGCGGTGAACGCCTTCCAGCCCGGCCTGGCGCTGGCGCCCGTGCTCTTCATCCTGGCGGTCACGGCCTTCAAGGACCTGTGGGAGGACTACAGCCGCCACCGCTCCGACCACGAGATCAACCACTTGGGCTGCCTCGTCTTCAGTGGGTGAGCTGGTGGGCCGGGCGGGGGGCGCGGGCTCCGCGCTGGGTCCCGATGCTCCCTGCACTTGGTGCTGGGCGCGGGGTCGGGGGCCCTGGGTAGGGGTGGCTAGGAGAGTGGATGGACTCTGGACAGAGTGTCCGGCCTCGAGGGGGCGGCGGGCTTGAGAGAATGTCGTGCGGCCGGAGACCCCTGTGCGCTCAGGGGCGGAGAGCAGGACACTTTAGATACTGGGGCGCAGGGGGTCCCCTCACCCGGATTGTCTGCCACTCAGACCTCGCCTCGGAGCCAAAATGACCCCAGGGCTGCTGGGTGCCCTCACCCTCAGCTGCTCCCGCCTTATAAGTAAAAAGGAGGGAAATGTATTCCCAGGAGCCCTGGCCTAAAAGTTCCTGCCTCTCTTTGGCTGGACTCCGTAGGCCAGGACGTTTAATAACCTTATCAACCAACACAGGAATGTAAACCTCAGTCTTAGGTGGCATCTCATTTCAGGACAACAGAGTGAAACTGCCACCAAGTTCTGCTTCAGGGCACACACTGGGTAAAGGGCAGGGGTCATCACAGCAGCGTCTGCACCCCGATGGGAGCTGTGAGCCGGCCACCTCACAGGTGCCAGCCCAGAGTTGGCTGCTTCATTTTCTCTGAGTTACCCTGTTTCCAGATGGAAAAACTGAGGCCCTGGGAGGTTGTGCGTCATGCCTGTGGTTAGCACCAGGGAGCATAATCCCTCCTCTCTCCCTGCACCTCCCCAGAGGCTTGTCCAAGAGGCCCACTGTCCCTTTTTCCTTTATTCCCACCTGGAGGGAGCCTCTGAGCTGCAGATGCAGCCCACCTGCAGGCCACGCCCCTCAGGGAAGGGTGAGGTCTTCTGGTGGGCGAAGCTCAGCCCAGGTCTCCCTCCTGTTTACTTGGCCAGAGTCCTGGTGTAGGGGCTGATAGGAGCCTCCAAGGTGAGGACGTGATTTTTGTCCACTGCTGTCTCGTGTGAAGGGGCTCTAGGAGGAGGTCCCTTGCATTCTCGGTGTCAGACTGTACCCCCCCCCGCCCCCGCCGCAAAAGATGGGGGTCGAAGTTGTTTGTGCCTCCTAGGATAGTTTTCAGGGGTGTCCAGCCTTTTGGCATCTCTGGGACACACTGGAAGAAGAGTTGTCTTGGGCCACGCATTGAGTACACTGTGACACGTAGTCACAAAAAAGTTTCTCATGTTCTAAGTAAATTGACGATTTTGTGTTGGTCCGCATTCACACCCATCCCGGGCTGCATGCGGCCCACGGGCCTCGGGTTGGACACCCCTGATCAGAAATGAAGACCATGAACACCGCTTCTTGCTTTTGAGTCTCTCCAACCCTCTTAGCCATGCCACGTGGGCTTTATATTCATGTGTAAACAGATGCTCAGAGAGGCTCAGCAACTTGCCCAAGGCCACACAGCGGCTGGGGAGCGGAGCTGGAATTTGAACCAGGTCTTCCCAGCGGCACAGCTTTGCCAGCATTCCTGTGCTGGGGCTTCTCAGATTTCTCCAAGACTCACTGGAGAGGCTTATCAAAACGAGAACAAGGGTCAGGCTCCAGCCTCAAAGTTTCTGACCCGACTCTTCAGAGACCGGGCCCAGGAATCAGAATCTTTGACTCACACCCAGGTGGGCTTCTCAGATGGCTCCCGCCCGCAGTAGCACTGCCCGGCTTCCTGGCGGGGCACCGGGCAGTCAGCATACGTGACGTGGCTGTACAGGGCTGCGGGGTTTCCTGGCTCCTGTTTACCAGACGCATGAGAAGCCGATAGGGAGGGGGGACTCCCTGACACAAGCGTCCTCAGTGTCCCCGGGGCGAGGACTCCAGGCAGCCGGGTGGCTGCCTTCTGCACCCAGGTTGCAGTGTTCACACGGGTACCACTTTCTGTTGTCACCCAGCCTGCCGCTCCTGTGGCCTCCTTTTTAGAAAGCCTGGAGCCTCAGGAAATACACCTCATTTTCTTTTGGTTGACAAAGTGCTCTCGAGCCAGTGTGACCCTAATAGCAGTTCCCCCTGAATACCGGTGGGGAACCGAGAATGGGGACCCAGAGCAGTCGTCTTGATTCCATGACCTCCGAAGGCTTCATGGGGCTTTGAAACCTTCGTCTTCCTGTGGGACCACACCTGCCCAGCACCTCTCCTTTCCCCCTGACCCGACCTGGATTCTCAAAGGATCTGAACAACCCTCGGGGCAGGTGTTCAGGACTAAGGGTGCTTTCAGGAGCTCCCCGACACCTCCCAATGCCTGAGTCAAATTCCTTGGATGCTTTCCCAGGGAGAAACGGCTTTCTCTGTGGGCTGGGTCCATGGGCGCGTCTGTCTGGGTGACAGAGGGGGAGAGAAAGACCGTCTGGGGACTGGTCATCTTTTCCCAGAAGCCAGCTCAAACTCTTCCAGGCCCAGAAAGTCTGGCATCTGAGGTGTGTTCAGGGCTGGGCTCTAGGAGTGACAGTATCCCCTGTGCTCTGGGGACAGCGAGTGGCTTGTGTACCTGTGGCAGACCAGGCTGCGTTCAGCTGCCTCCCAGACCCTTCCCGATGGCTCGCACTGGTGCTCTGACCTGGTTGTCACGGAGGCCTCCAGGCCCCTGCCAGGCCGTGGAGACAGCAGTGAGGAAGCTGGGTGTCTCAGGGAGCTCACCTTGGGGACCGACTGCAATGTGGGGCGTGTCCACGGGGAGCCCTGGCCAGCCCCGGGTTGCAGGCTGCAGGGAGGAGAGCCTTTGCAGACGAGGGCGTGAGGCGGAGGACCAGGGAGGATGTGGGCGGGCAACGGGCCAGAACGAACGGCAGCAGCTGCGGGGGGACACCGCAGGGTGGGGCACATGACAGGTTCAGTGCACCCCGAGGCTGTGACCAGGTCACAACCCGTGCAGGGGCGAGGTGCCAACTGGAAGCCTTGAGTCCTGGGCGGGAGTCAGCAAGCCCACCGGCTTGAGAAACCCGGGGGCGGACTTATGCTAGGTCAGGCCAGCATTCGTTCAGTGCTTTTCCCGCAGAGACTGTGGGAAGCCTGGTTGCAAACGGTCGGCGTCTATTCTGTGTCGCGTCATTGCCCCGGTGGGTATACAATGCAGAGGGCAGTTCCGTTGAAGCGTGGGGACATGCAGGTGAGAGCGCCCTTTTGCTGGGGTAGCCTTGGCCGCTGACACCATCCCTGCGCGGTGGCGCCTCTCAGGCAGCGACTGTTTATGCCACTGTGGACCGAGGTGGTGTTTGTGATGGGCGTGGGCCCTGGGTCCCCTCTCCGTGGGAATCCCCCATCCAGCTGCTTAGAAGGGCAGCCCCTCAGGCCCCCCACTGAGCCCCTGGCAGTGGGACCTGGTGTCTATGTCGCAGCTTCATTCCACACACAGGGTTCGAGAAGCCATCTTCTATTTCCACGTCCTGAGCTTAGGAAAGTTCGAGCCCTGCCCAGTGCGGTGAGAGAGCACCGTGGGTGACCCCAGGGGGTCGCCTGCATCCCGCACCCGGTGGGCAGGTCAGTCTGAGTGTCCCTTGGCCGTGGCGCAGCCGGTGGAGCAGGCTGGGAAGCCCTTTTTGGTCACGTAGACCTCCTGGGAAAGGCTGGTGGGAGGAGCCACCTCCCTGCGGGCCGCAGGCGGAAAGAAAGGGGGCGTCTGAGTCCGATCCCCCCACCTGATCCTCCCAGGCAGGGGGTCGAGGGTGATGGGGCCCAGGTTTCTGCTGTGCGGGCTGGGACCTCCCTTGGTGGATGGGTGACCAGGCTGGCTGGGCATATGGGCAGCGAGTGACCGAGGGCCAAAGGCTGAAGGGGCTGGGAGAGGAGAGGGACAGGAGCAGGGTGGTTCTGGTGGCAGGGAAGCGGAGGACAGTCACCGGAGGAGGACGCAGTGAGGACGTTGACAAAGAGTCAGGGGGCGTGCGTCAGGGAAAGCGCCCTCTTGCGCCTCTTGAACCTCAGGGGCCAGCGGGGAACGGCCAGACCTGCTTCTGCACCAAGAAGCAGGCAGCCTCTTAGAAGGCTCTGGGCTGTGGGGGCTGAGGTGGGCTGGGCCCAGGCCTGCCCCAGGGGGACCCAGCGCAAGCCCCTGCCTCGGTTTCCTAACCTGTTAAGTGAGTGCTGGGTCCACACGCCCCTCCTGGCCTTGATCCCGTGGCCCCAGGAGGGGCCAGCACCCTCGTCCCACCGCCGGTCCCCTCCCTCTGCCTGAAGCCCCATCTGCGTCACCGTGTAATGTTTTTCCTTCGGCTTCAGGAGCTTTGTGTTGACACCTTTCTTTCATTGCCCCCTGAGTGTGGGGACCATAGCGTTTATGTGTGAAGTATCCCGAGGTGACTCTGCCCTTGACCTTCTGGGCTCCGGACTTGGATTCCAGTGTGGCACCTGGTGCCCTTCCGTCACCTTTGGGGAAAACACGTCGCCTGGGGTGCTGTCCTGCTTATCTTGGAGTGACTGTCTTTCTCCTCCCTGCCCCTTCCTGTGATTCTCAGTCCGCACTGCCCTGAGCTTCATGGGTTTTCTTCTCCCTTTTTTCTTTTATTCCCAGAAGAGTCTGAAATGAGACCTAACGCAGTTCTTCCCCTTTTATTTTTTAATTTTTTAAAGATTTTATTTATTTATTTTTTGAGAGAGAGGGGAAGGGAAGGAGAGAAGGAGAGAAACATCCTTGTGTGGTTGCCCCTCACGTGCCCCCAACTGGGGACCTGGCCCGCAACCCAGGCACATGCCTGTGGGGGCACCTTTGCCCTCAAAGTCCCCCCCCCCCACTGCCATGGATGAAAGTGAAACTCCCAAGACATGGTCTGCTTGGGGAGGAAAGGTGGCTGACCCCTCAAAGGGGAAGGGCCCAGAGCCCCCTGCTCAAGGGGCTTTAATTTGGTTCATTTTGCACAAGAATACAGGTAAGGATCAAACAATAGACAGCATTCAAAGAACTATGGGGGCTTATTCTCAGTCAGGGTCAGTCAGGGTCAATTGCACAAGAATACAGGTAAGGATCAAACAATAGACAGCATTCAAAGAACTATGGGG